CAACATGATCTTTATTGCGAATAATTTCTGTAACTAGACTTTTGTTGCAAAAGTATTGCAACAACACATTTCTTGCAAAGATGACTGGATCACTTGGTTGATCACACTGCCCTCTACAACTTCATCCAATGGTCAAAGAGGCGGCCGATCTTTTAATTTTATCCGTCGGCGGACACGTAGCGTCGCCCTTTCTTTTTTTGATACTCCCTCGTTTTTTAGTCTGTATATAAGATTTGACCAAAGTTAAACTTTGTAAAGTTTGACTAACTTTCTCAGAAAAAAAATATTAATATCTTTAATACTAAAGTTATATGTTATGAAAATTAATTTCGTGATACATCTAATAATATTGATTTCATAGCGTGAGTGTTGATATGTTTTCCTACGAAGCTAGTCAAATTTTTATAAAGTTTGACTTTGACCAAATCTTATATGCAAACTAAAACCCAAATGATAACGCCCACATGTGTGGCACGTAGCAACATGGCCCAAACGCCTTCATTACCATTCATTTTGCCACGTCAAAATAGATGACATTAGCGAGAATCTTTTTGGTTTTCGGCTTAAAAATGTTTTATCTCCTAATTAGAAAATCCAATTAAAAATCCATTTTTACCACTAAAATCCGACTCGACAAGATCTTCAAAACTAGATCTCATGTAGATATATTTCGACGAAAAAAATTGGCAAAACTTGCCATTATGTTTACACTGTAGTTTCCATAGTGTTTACAACAAAGTTGCCATATGACAATTTTAGTTTATAGATCATGGCAATTTTAGTATTTTAATTTGACCATGACAATTTCAGTATTTTGACCATGGAAATTATTTTTTGTATGAACCATGGCAATTTTAAGTGCATGTATCATGGTAATTTTAGTTTATTGTTCATGGCAAGTCTGGTTTCTTAATTCCCCATTTTATAATATGTCAAAATTTACTTTTAAATGTACAAGAAAAAATAGCTAAAACATATCATGGCAACTTCAGTGTAAACACTATGGCAATTCATGTGCAATAGACATGACAACTTTTAACCCCCCAAAAAAATGCCGTCGAAACATATTGATATGAGATCTAGTTTCGAAGATCTCGTCGCCATGGACTTAATGGTGAAACCAATCTTCAATCGGATTTTTCATTTAAGAGATAAAACATTTTAAAAAATAAAAATTCAAAAAGATTGTCACATGCATGCATTCGTTGACGTAGTGCAATCTGTGGGCGTTATCAGCGTCCAACTAAAAAGAAACGGAGGGAGTACAACTCTCGATTATCTGGGTATAAGTATCTTGAACGAAGAAGATTTGAAAAGAAGATTCACGGTACATATACGTTCGTAGGACAGCAAGATTCCTGTCTGAATTTTTTTTTAAGCAAGATTCCTGTCTTACGTATATCCTGCAATCGGTATACAACTTCAAGTGGCAGCAGCAAATAATGAGGACACGCTACGTCCCAAACAATCCGGACAGAATACGCACAGCCGGGGGACGCTCCCCCGCCACCATACCGCGGCGCCCATATAAACACGCGCGCGCGCGTGCCTCTGCTCTCAAAGCCACCTCCCCTCGCCGGTCCAGGCTACAGCAGAGCACGCGTAGTCACCGCTAAGCCGCCCGGCCTTGGCCACCATTAAACCACCTCACGCGCAATGGGTGAGATAGCGGCGGACGAGCGCGGGCTCGCCGGCGGCAAGGGGTCGGAGGAGGAGGAGGAGGAGACGTCCCCGATCGAGGAGGTGCGGCTGACGGTGCCCCCCGGCGACGACCCGACGCTGCCGGTGTGGACGTTCCGGATGTGGAGCATCGGGCTGCTCTCCTGCGCGCTCATGAGCTTCCTCAACCAGTTCTTCTCCTACCGGACGGAGCCGCTGATCGTGACCCAGATCACGGTGCAGGTGGCGTCGCTGCCCATGGGCCACTTCCTGGCCCGCGTGCTGCCGCGCCGCAAGTTCCGGGCGCCGGCGGCCCTCGGCGGCGGGGAGTGGAGCCTCAACCCTGGGCCCTTCAACATGAAGGAGCACGTGCTCATCTCCATCTTCGCCAATGCCGGCTACGCCTTCGGCAACGGCAACGCCTACGCCGTCATGATCGTCGACATCATCCGCGCCTTCTACGGCCGCTCCATCTCCTTCATCGCCGCCTGGCTCCTCATCACCACCACCCAGGTACTGCCCTCCCTTCGCAAGCTCCATTGTTCTCCCGACTAAGAGTATTAATTAGCTGCTCCCTTCGTTGCTACTCTATCCGATTTCTCACTTGGCATCGGAATCAAATGGATCTAGGTGCTCGGGTACGGGTGGGCGGGGCTGATGCGCAAGTACGTGGTGGAGCCGGCGCACATGTGGTGGCCGAGTACGCTCGTGCAGGTCTCGCTCTTCCGGTGAGCACCACTCTACACTCCTCCTCTGTCCTCCCCTTGGTCCGGTTGCTTTCTTGCGTTGCTGCATTTTCTTACAGCCGGGTTGGCATGCTACCAGATTTATTGGTCGTTCCGGTGACCCGCGAACAAGGCGTTGCGCTCATAAAATTTCCCTACAATTTCACCCGTTTCTTGACGCTCCGACGGGTTGGTTGGTTTGTCCTCGGGTGGTTGTAACTTTCCACTTGGCGCCTATCCTACGTGGGGTACAACTTAACATTTTGTGATATAGTGTTCCCCAGTTTCTCGGCGAACCCGATACATAGAACAGGCTAGAAATAAGTTGCGTATGTTGTTGTATTATCACTCGTCACCAGGTGCATATCATTGGCTCCAGATTGGAGAATCTGACCCAACCGGCTGGCATCATTAGTAAAGGAAACAAAAGGCGATTGAGAAAATAACCAAGGAGAAAATCTGACGAGCATGAGTACTACTACATCTCGCGAGACACTGACATGCATTTCAGTCCGATGTCCCCCTTCCTTTTTCCTCTTGATTATCATTGTCCCGCTCGACACCGACGCAGGAGCAGAAAGAAAGACCCCACCACGAACATGGGAGTGCACCCATCCGCTGGATTGGTGGATGGATAAGCTGCTTCTGCTGCTGCTGATTTAAACCCGAACCACCATTACGTTGTCCAATGCATTCTTGCATAAAACATAGTGCTTAGTTGTGCAACTTGGACTATGTTTGGCCTTTCCGAGCACCGAGGGCACGTTTTGTTTTGCTTTTTAAACCACGTACTAGTAGTGCATTGCAAATGCAAACACGCTGTTGCTTTGTCCATGGAACTTTGTTAGGCGTTATCTAGGGCGACTGATTGCGGCGCACGCATGGGTGGAAAGCTCGCGTGGTAGGTTATGGGTGGAAAGGTTTTACTCTCCTCCACTCCAAGGGTTTATTTGAGTACAAAACAAAAATATACAGGGAAATATGATCGTAGTGCCACATCCTGAGTTCTCGCCCTCCAATTATCGAAGGGTCTCTTTCATTCAAAAGATCTTCAAAGAAATTTTAGAGGAACTTCGTCCTTAAGATTTTTTTTTAATATTAGTTGTCTGATTTGTATGATCGTAACACAAACGATTTTTTCTGTAGTAGGATGCATTTGTATTAGATTTGATAGGAAATTTCCTCCCTCTCAAACCTCATTTTGAATAATCCTACGTTTTCCTTTGCATAACCAAACAGCCTTTCAACCATGTATGGATTACTAAAGATGACATGCCATTTCTAATCCCGTGTCTTTCCTTTTTATGCGTTTTGAGATGTGAATCACAAATGCCACTAAGAAAAAAGTTGATGTCGAGGTTTGATTTAGACCAATGCAGTGATTGCATGATACTATGATGATGACAGATATGATGAATATACTAGTCAGGCCCTACAGGCCACATCACCGTTGCCTGCCATGATGCAGTACAAGAGTATCGTTTTGATACGATCTAGCACAAGGCCCCATCTTACGCCAATTGACACTAGTTTTCTTCCCTGAACCAACCTGCAACCCACCTACCATTCACACCCAGACAGACAGACAGATACCTGAATGGCTGAATCTAGTCGGCATGCCGTTTAATATGTGGCGCGAGCCTCTTGCCTCCACCGGTACACATGTTTCTTTTCCCACTTAGAGGGATTTCATCAGAAGTGAGATACACCAAAACACCAGTCGCTGACAAGCGACAACCTTGCACCTGAATGGCATCATTCCAAACTTTCCGACGGCATCCCGTGCTTGGTTCAAGTAGAAACGGTTATTCAGGAACCGAAAGAAAGAAAAATACTAGCAGCAGCAGCAGTAGCAGTAGCTTTCGAGACAGTTGGGAGCACGTCTCAGCAGTCAGCAGATTTAGATTCCGTCGAGTCGACTGGAGGGCGACGCTTGGGTGCATGGGCGTGTTTTGTCTTCGTCAGCGCCGGGCAGACGCGTCGCTCTGCTTGCGGTGCATCCGGATTCGGCAGTAGGCCAAGGCGGCCTTCGGAAGTCGCCGTATGATGGAGGAGTGGCGGCACGCCAAGGGCGTGATGTGAACGCGCACGGCCGGTCGGGTACGACGGCTGAAGGCCTAACTTGCACTGCACAGTATTGACACCTCTGATGGAGGGAGACGGCGCGTGTTTGAAATTTGTGTGCAACTGGATGGATTAGTGTTGTATTTTCGTGGTCCAGGTCCAAGTTATGCCCACAAAAGGCGCGATCCTTGCACATGCCCGCGATCCTTTTAGTGGCCAACTGGCCACCAAATCAATTGTTATCCGGTCGTACTGTTTCATGCAACAATGGCTTAGTTAACAACATGGTAAACAACTGACCAAGGGTTGGTTGCCTTCGATATAAAAGTAAAACGGTAAAACAAGGCGCGGTGCTTCCAGTCCTGGAGACGCCAGCTCTTCATGTGGAAAGGTATATCAAGAAAATATATCAGGCCGTTTAATGGTGAACTGGTGAATGATGGTTGATGGATCACTTTGTTTACATGGCAACAATTCGAATCCATGAAGCTGCGAAAGTTCTGCACTACTCCTACATAGCATTGGCACTAACACCATCCTTGTATGCACCAGGGCACTGCACGAGAAGGAGGAATCTCCCAAGGGCTCGCGGCAGATCTCCCGCTCCAAGTTCTTCCTGGTGGCGCTCATCTGCAGCTTCGCGTGGTACGTCGTGCCGGGCTACCTCTTCCCGGCGCTCACCTCCATCTCATGGGTCTGCTGGGTCTTCTCCAAGTCCGTGACTGCGCAGCAGCTCGGCTCCGGCATGAAGGGCCTGGGTATCGGAGCTTTCACGCTCGACTGGTCGGCCGTCTCCTCCTTCCTCTTCAGCCCGCTCATCTCGCCCTTCTTCGCCACCGCCAACATCTTCGTCGGCTACTTCTGCTTCCTTTACGTGCTCGTGCCAACGGCGTACTGGGGGATGAACCTCTACAACGCCAAGACATTCCCCATATTCTCATCGCACCTGTTCATGTCTAACGGATCGGCATATCAAATCACTGACATTGTGAACCAGCAGTTCCAGCTTGACACGGAGGCGTATGCAAGGCTCGGAAGGATAAACCTCAGCACCTTCTTCGCACTGTCTTATGGGCTCAGCTTCGCCACCATTGCATCCACCATCACGCACGTCGGCATCTTCTACGGGAAGTAAGTGCTCTCAACTCTGTATGTGAATAAACTGACACAGCTCAGCTTTGAATCCATGTGGTTTTTGAACTGAAAGATGAAAAATTCACATCTGCAATTGGACACCGATGCACAGGGAGATCTACCACCGGTTCCGTGCTTCGCAGCAGGAGGAGCCTGACATCCACACAAAGCTGATGAGGAAGTACGACGACATACCAGCGTGGTGGTTCTACTCACTGACAGTATTGTCGATGACAGTGTCCCTCATCCTCTGCACCGTCCTGAAGGACCAGGTTCAGCTCCCTTGGTGGGGCCTCCTCTTCGCCTGTGGCATGGCCTTCGTCTTCACGCTCCCCATAAGCATCATTACTGCAACCACTAACCAGGCAAGTTTATTTCAGAATTTTTAATGTTTCTCCATTTGCCCTGCTCTTTCATGATTTCTGCAAGAAAAACTGACCAAAGCCTTTAAAATTTTATGGACAGACTCCTGGCCTGAATGTCATCACTGAATACGCCATGGGGCTAATAATGCCTGGATACCCCATCGCCAATGTCTGCTTCAAGGTGTACGGCTACATGAGCATGTCGCAGGCAGTTGCATTCCTCTCAGATTTCAAGCTCGGACACTACATGAAGATACCTCCAAGATCAATGTTCATTGTTCAGGTAATTAAACCACTAAATCTCCTCACATTGTAACTTGTAAGCAAAGGAGCGGCATGTAGGAAGATAAATTTACTGACATTCCGCGCGCTGTATTTATCCAGTTTGCCGGTACACTGGTGGCCGGGACTGTTAACCTCAGCGTGGCATGGTGGCTACTTGGGTCTGTCGAGAACATCTGCCAGGACCAACTGCTGCCACCAGACAGCCCATGGACATGCCCTGGTGACCGTGTCTTCTTTGACGCATCGGTCATCTGGGGCCTTGTTGGCCCGAAGCGCATTTTCGGGCCACATGGTAACTATGAAGCCGTCAACTGGTTCTTCCTCATCGGCGCAGCAGGCCCTGTCATCGTGTACATCTTCCACAGGATATTTCCCAGTCAGAGGTGGATACTGATGATAAACCTGCCGGTGCTCATCGGCGCTACAGCCAACATGCCACCAGCAACAGCCGTGAATTACAACTCATGGCTGCTGATAGGCACCATCTTCAACTTCTTCGTGTTCCGGTACCGGAAGAAGTGGTGGCAGAGGTACAACTACATCCTCTCTGCCGCGCTCGATGCAGGCGTCGCGTTCATGGCAGTGCTGCTGTACTTCACACTGACCATGGAGAACCGGACAGTCAACTGGTGGGGCACGGCAGGTGAGCACTGTCCTCTGGCCTCATGCCCCACTGCTAAAGGGGTGGACTTGGGCCCGGATAGTGTGTGCCCTGTGTTCTAAGCTAAAACTCTTTCACCCTCACGGTACAGCTACAAGATTAGTCATGATCCATTCCAGTCGTGTGAGTGTAATAGCATGATCATAGATTTCTGTTGTACTTCTCCACCAAAAGAGAGAGAGCAAAGCTTCTAGATGCGTGTAAACTGTAAAGGCCGTAGTCGTCCACGCAAAAGAGAAAAGACAATAACTATCAGCCGCAATGTGCGACAATCAGTCATTTGGGAACACAAATGCATGCTAGTTCTGGAATCCTATAAACTTTGACACTTGTTGCAAAAAAATACCTTTTAGAGCAGTATACTGTGCATCTCAATTGAATTGGAGAACAGTAACACAAGCTGCTCATCAACAGCATTCAGTGATAGCAAATTCAAACGCACAACTTGAGGTCATGGCGACATTCTTCGTTTCTTATTGGCTTCACAACATATTTATGATTTGCAGTGCATACATAGAGGAACGACTAGGCAACAGATTGTTTCAATTGAACTAAATGGCACCAGATTAATCCCGTACTACATTACAATCGACTCAAGCATAGGCTAAAGGGAACAGGGAAGAGGCGAGGTACCCGCGAGGTTAGGGCTAGGCGCCTTCCTTGCTCTCTAGGGGAGGCGGCCGCGGTTGAGGAGGCCGAGGGTATGGCGCGCGGCGTCGAGGAGGTCCTGGATGTTGTGCAGCGACCTCTCCTCGGCGCCGAAGATGAAGATGGCGCGGCACTCGGCCTTCTTGGCCAGCCGCGCCGCGTGGCCCAGCGGCAGCGCCGGCGAGTTGAGCGCCCGCAGGATCTGCCGGTACATGGACAGCACCACCGGCCGGTTCCGCGCCAGGTCCTCCGCCGTCGCCCAGATCAGGCCCCCGCCGGCCTTCGCCATCCTCCGCCACGGCCTCGCCTCGCCGAGCGCCCCCGCTGTATCGCGCTGGAACGAGAGACGCCGACGCGCGCTGTCGCGGCTGGAGGATGGAGGCGGAAGGGAGGAGCAGCGAGAGAGAAAGGCTAACTAACTGGGCTTCGGCGGGCCCGTCACTGGGCTTTAAGGCCGGAGAGGCGGGCCACAAAGCCACGTCGCTTCCCTCAGAGAGAGAAAAAAAACGTAGCCCCGTCGCCAGCCACCCTCCAAGTTTCCGCGTCACCAGTCACCACCCCCTGCTCCGACGAAACCGGCGGCAAAATGCGCGCGGTGGATCCACCCCCGTCGCCTCTTCCCCATTTCCCGTCCCCAACTCGAGCTCGTCGTCGGAGTCGGGAGCCGTGTGGATCGTGCCGCCGGAGGTGAGAATCAGTTCCTCTTCTTCCACTCCCCAGGTCCCTCCATTCTTATGGGCCTGGAGTAATGTGAGGATTCCAGATCGGAATGTTCCTTTTCTTTTCGGCTATCCATTGGTATTTAGGAAATCTTGTTCTATTTGGTTGCATGATGATGGCATTACACGTCGTGCTTGCTGTGTCCCCGGTGGTATTTGTCTAACTAGTATTTCGGAGCTGCCATCGCCATTGGAGAAAATCTGAAACGCCTGAATCCTCGAAATTTCCCTTTGCCAGAGGATCAATGTGTATTCTTGCCGATAAATATGATGCACGATGGCTTGAACTGCTGAGAATATGTAATTTATTGAACGTTTGTCTGGGTTCGCATACTTCCAAGAGGAAGAATTCTTCCGGTTTACATTTCATTAATTTTGACCCATTTCGGCATTAACAGTTTCGTAGTCTAATGAAAGTTCTTTATTCTGGCAAATGGTCATTGGAATCATTTTTGTATATGGATCCGGATCTTTCACTTATCAGGATATGAACCATATATGGAACGGTGGTGTTTGACCTACTTCAAACTTCAAAGTAATGTTTGTGTAACATTCAAGCATGTGCTCACATGAACAACCATTAGAAAATCGTGCAATTTGTATAACTATAAGCATAAAAAGCATCACGTGATGTTTCATGCTTCCATTTTGCTCTCATATATGCCTGTTTAGTCCATACTATCATATGCTCACATGAGCAGTAAACATCGCCCGAGAGTGCATTTTAAAACTGACTCTGTAGGCTGTAGACTTTGGCTAGCTTGGTGTCCAGTTTCAGTTTCTCTGTTTTGAGCTTCAGTTTCTGTTTCGCCTTTTCCTTTGGCTAGCTTAGGACCCTTTGTTTCTTTTATATTCGGTTCCCCGTTTTTAAACTTCGCAACTGGCTGTCTTTTGACTGTTATGCTTGTTTCTCGTAGAGTTTGCGAAATTGGATGAGGTCTTGGAACACATGGTTATTTAAAATGCATCTATATCTGATAATGAAACATGTATACTCCTAGATATTTCTTCCACTAACTATTTGGCATAAAGTTCATTTCTGGACTCCGTTTAGAAAACCCCGGACAATATCTCGCTATTTGTTCTTTATTTGGCTGAAAGAAGTATATTCGACACCTTTTTGTTTTACTGGTGAAGAATGTTAAAGCTGAAATATTATGCTAATTAATTCCTTCATGTTCATTCCATTTTTCAAGACAAGCATGTTTAGCACAGTAAAGGTCCACAATGTCTCACTTCAAGCATCAGAACGAGTTATCAAGGAGTTCTTTAGCTTTTCTGGTGACATCGTACATGTCGAAATGCAAAGGCTAGTGCCACATGATCTCCATTATATATCTGTTATCATTTAGATTTATACATAACATGTGTTATGTTAACTTAGCGATGCTCTGCAGTGGTGATAAGCGTTCTCAGTTCGCCTACATCACCTTCAGAGATGAGCAAGAAGCGGAGAGGGCAATGCTTTTGACAGTACGATTTCTCTACCTCTTAACACAATCATTGTAGCTATTTATTCGCTGTGTGAATATCCATTTTTTGCTGCAGGGCGCGACTATAGTGGATATGGCTATCATCATCACCCCAGCCACAAATTACCAGCTGCCAGCAGCCGTTTTAGCTGATTTAGAGGTAGGAGTCTACGACCATGCTAATTCTACATTTATCTATGATTTCTCAACTCCTTTCAGTAGTCTCGGAACTCCTGACACTCTTTGCACTCCCAGTCAAAAAGTCCTAGTAGCATAGAAGCTGCCCTTCGAAAGGCAGAGGATGTTGCTGGTTCCATGTTGGCCAAAGGATTTATTCTTGGCAAGGACGCCGTTGAAAAGGCAAAGACTTTTGATGAAACACATCAGCTCACGTCGACTGCAAGTGCTAAAGTATCTTCCATTGATAAGAGTCTGGGCCTCAGTGAGAAGATCAGCACTAGCACCATAGTGGTGAATGAGAAAATGAAGGAAATGGATGAGAAATACCAGGTTGCAGAGAAGACCAAGTCTGCATTGGTAGCTGCGGAGCAGACCGTTTCTACTGCTGGTTCCAAGATCATGAGACACAGATATATCCTTACCGGCGCAGCATGGGTAACTGGTGCCTACAGCAAAGTTGCGACGACTGCGACTGAGGCCTACAACAAGGAAAGGGCGATGGCTGAGCAGGAAGATGAACTCGCGAAGAGTTCTGAAGAGGCAGGACAAGAGAGCAAGTGTCAGGAAAGTGATCCAGCTAAGGTGCCTGTTCCAGAAAATACTGAAACGGGCCAAATGGCTGATCAGGAGGGCGAATGTCCAAAGACCAACAAACCAGAAGATACTGAAATGGGTAATGGTGAGCAGAAAGGTCAAGATGCTGAAATCGCAAAGGCCCAAACTCAAGAAAACACTGGAATAACAGCCGAGGAGCATAAGCATCGGGAGGCTGAGTTACCGAAGGCCAGCACGCCTGAAAGTTTTCTGATGACTGAGCAAACTGAGCAGGAACACAAGCAACCGGTCACTGAAGTTGCAAACAGCGATATTCCAAGCAGCCCTGTAACCATCCCCGTCTGCATGGCCACTGATGATGCAAATTCTAGCAATTCCCCAAAGAAGCCCGGACCTGCCTAGGGATGCATTTGATGATTTATTTGATAGTGCAGCTGCAACTGAATTATATTGTCTTCTATAGTTTGCGTTGTCGATGTGTTGTTGTTTTATTGCGGAAGGAAAGTGGTGCCATAAGCTTTATTGTCTGTACAAAGTAACCATGGTGTCTGTTTATTTTCTACTCGTAGATTCCTACTGCGCGGTGTATTTTCATTTGTTCTTTTCCGAGCCTTGCCACAAATGGGATTCTGCATCCAAATTCTGGTTTCTCTGAAACCATTTGAATATGCAACATCCACACCATGCATTGTGCTAATAGTTGAAGTGTGGACCAGACAAACATGACAATGTATAAGCAGATATGCTACTATCATATCAATTTTGTTGAGAAGCAACTCAAACGACCAAGAATCCTGGAAGCAAGGAGGCAAGGCAAGCATACAATTCAAGATTTCATTACTGCTGCTGCACAAGTACAGTATACGCAGCTGCATAGCTGAGTGCAAATTACATCGCGCTGTTGGATTGAAACTGGCAAAGGAAGGAGCCACAAAAATTTAAGGTCTGGTATACTAGCTGATGCGAGAAGCTTATAGCATCATCAGCCTCCGGTTGCCAGCCTTCCGTCCGCCGGCGCCGCCGCCGCCACCGCCGAAGCTCGACATATCTAAGAAAGACCAAGTCAAAACGCGAATTGTGAGAAGGGAAAGCACGCGACGACTATTTATTCACATGAATCTGGATCTGTGGCCATGGACGATGATGCTTACCGGAGGAGGAAGGGGCGTGGGAGCAGAGGAAGAGGAGGAGGAAGCAGAGGAAGGTGAGCAGCGGGATGAGGTGGATGGACCTCTCCGGGCGGCCGCCGGGCGCCTTGTCGGCCTTGGCCTCCGCGGACTGCTCGGGCACCCACAGCGGCACCGCCTCCACCGCGTCGCCGCCGTCGCCGTCGTCGTGCTGCTGCTGCTTCGGCGCCGGCGAGAGGTTGAGCTGCCGCTGCATCTTGGGAAGGGTTGCTGTCGGTGGAGCTGCCGCGTTTGGTCTGGGGTCGGAGGCGGGGCAGGGTTGACGGTGTGGGGTGGAGGAGCGGGCGAGGGGCGCTTTTAA